GAAATAGAACTATTGAGATGATTAAAACTGTATCATTTATTGATCCTATTTACAAGTAACTGATTTTGTCCTATAATTGTTTTTTTTCCTGTAACTGCTTAAATCATGTTTCTTTGTCTCTGAATTTAGGCCAGAGTTCAGCTGGCCCATAATGGATTAAGTTTAAAAATCCAGCCTTCTTGCCTCAAGGAATTTAACTGACCTTGGAGAATGTATGTGAACACTAGGGTGTTTGGGCCTGATATCTTTACTCCACTAATCTATCCTTCAAGGATATCTGATTTGCTGTCCAAAAGTCTGAGCTATCTTGCACCTGCACTCCGACAATAAGCACGCCGAAGTCTCATTAAAAACAAGGGGGCACCATTGCTAACCCCCAATACCAAACTTCCAACCAATGAGGTTGTTCCTTGTGCCTCAGCTCTGTAACCAATCATGTTGCCCTCAATCCCATGTTGGCATCAACCCTGTTCTTTTTTTGTTCTATACTCCCCAAAACCTATAAAAGGGAAACTGTCCTTTTGCTTAAATGAAGGCAAGCCATTGACCCATTTATTGACGAGGCAACATGCCCCTGTTAATAAATGTTATTTTACTTGAGAGATTTGCCTCAGTCTATCCTTTTGGTAAATTCCAATTATGACATATGAAAAATTACATCGAATCACTAATAATAAATGCACATCAAAACAAATGCCCCAGGAAATTAGAAAAGAGGACAAAACATGAGAAGAGTCAATATTGGAGTTACTAAGAAAAAGCAGGTACATTAATACATTATTAATAGGGAACAATTTGGAATTGTTTTGCTCTGTTTAACAACCACAATTTTTGGCTCACTGCTAGACACATACCCCCAAGGAGGTCATAGAAAGAAAGATCCCATATACACCAAAATATTCATGGAAATGCTTTTTTTATAGTAGCCAAGTATTTGCCCATTCACTGGGGGAAATGCTAAACAAAATTGCGAAACAAATTGTGTAATGGAAAATTATATCATAAGGAATGATGAATACAAATAAGAAGCATGAGAAGACATATTAACTGATGTGGAATGAAGTAAGCAGAATGAGGAAAACAATACATACAACTACAACAATGTAAATGGAAACACAACAAAAACTTGAATGCTGTATAATTATGACCAAACATCCCTTGAGAGGAGGGGCAGCTAGGTGGCATAATGGATAAAGCACCAGCCCGGGATTCAGGACCTGAATTCAAGTCCAGAGTCAGACACTTGAACTTAACTAGCTGTGTGACCCTGGGCAAGTCACTTAACCCCATTGTCTAGCCAAAAAACAAATAAATAAATAAATAAATAAATGAAAATTAAAAAAAAAAAGCTGAGAAAATGCACCTTCCTCCTCTCTGCTATGGATATGAAACATTGTGTATACTGTCAGACTCAGTTGATAGGTTGGACAGTTTTGTTCAATTTCTCTCTCTCTCTTTCTCTCTCTCTCTCTCCTCTCTCTTATATTTTTTCCTTTTTTTTTTTTTTTTTTTGGTTACAACAGATGGCACACTAGGTAGAGAGTGAGAGGCACATGGTCAGGCAGGTAAAAATCAAAGACAAATAAGTTTTTTTTTTAAAGCAACAAACAATAGAAACACATACAAAATCACCTACCCTAGGGGGTATTTACAATTTAAGAGAATCCAGAAACTAATTGCTTATTGCACAATTTCAGTGATTAGTTGAGGGAGATCTTAACTTCGAGGCAGGTTTCCCAGAGCAATGGCCTTAGGCCTTTAACTTAAGCAATGGCCTGTGATTAGGACCTGGCCTGTACCTATCCAGGACCGATGTAAGGACTAAATGAGAAGGTAAAGTCTATGTAATCCTAAAGTGCTATACAAAAGAAGAATAATCTGTCTGCTATTCTATCCACCAGGATGACTGGGCAGAGGAAATGCTGAATACAGTATGCACCTGGCTGCTTTGGATTGGGTTTGTGGGTCAGGATCTTTTCAAATATTTGAACGGCTGTCATGAAGAAGATAGATTGGACTTGTACTGCCTGGCCCCAGGGGGTAGTTGAGAACCAATAGGTGGAAATTACATGGAAGGCTGGTTTCCTGGAAGAGAAGGGAATGGAGTGAGCATTTATGTAGTACCTACTATGTGTCAGGCTTTTTAAAAATTATCTTGTTCGATCCTCACAAGGTAGGTGCTATTAAATGCCCTATTTTACAGTTGAGGAAACTGAGGCAGATGGAGGCTAAGTGACTTGCCCAGGGTCATAGAACTAGTAAGTGTCTGAGGTCAAATTTGAACTGAGGTCTCCCTGACTCCAGGCCCAGCATTCTATCCATTGTGCCACCAGCTACCTCAAAGTCCCGGCTAAAATCCCACCTTCTTAAAGGAAGCCTTTCCTGATCCCCCTTCATGCTAGTGCCTTCCCTCTGTGGATTATCTCCAATTTATCCTGCATATGTCTTGTTTGTACATACTTGTCTTCAAGTTGTCTCCCTCATTAGACTGTGAGCACCTTGAGAGAAGGGACTGTCTTTGCTTTTCTTTGTATCCCCAGAGTTAAGCACAGTTCCTGGCACATAATAGGCACCTAATAAATGCTAATTGACTGACTGACTAAATCACTTATTTTTAGATCTGTTCCACATGAGAGTTTTATGGACTCTCTTAAACACTTTTGTTTATGTCCTCATTACTTCTTGACTGGACTATTGTAATACCTTCTTAATTGGTCTCCCTACTCCAATCAATTGATCAACAAGTATTTTTAAAGTGCTAGGGACAGCTAGGTGGCACAATGGACAGAGTACCAGGTCTGAAGTCAGGAAGACTCATCTTCCAGAGTTCAAATCCAGCCTCAGACACTTACTAGCTGTGTGACCCTGGGCAAGTCACTTAACCCTGATTGCCTCACCAAAAAGCAAAAAAAAAAAAAGAAATGATGAAAGAGATAGTTTCAAAGAGAGCTGGGAGGACTTGTATGAAGTGAGCAGGACTAGAACACTTTATGCAATAATTGCAAAAACAATAACTGAAAGACTTAAGAATCTGATCAACTCAATGACCAGTCAAGATTTCAGAGGACCAGTGATGAAGTGTGCGACTCATTTCCTGACAGAGAGATGGTGGATTCAGGATGCAGAATGAAATACATTTTTATGGATCTGGCCAATGAGAAAATTTGTTTTCCTCATTGCATATGCATATTTTCTACAAGACTTTTGTTTGGCTATTTTTTTTTTCCAGTGATGGAAGGGCAATGGGGAGGGAAATAGATTCTTAACTGGAAAAATACAAGTTTTTAAAAAGATGAAATAACCTGAGTTTTGAAGGAATCCAGAGATCCCAAGAGGTGAAGGCGAGGTGTACTCTTAGAATCCCCGACTACTCACGCAGAGAGGACAGCTAGCGCAAAGGCATGATGATGGGAGATGGCTTATCTTCATGGAGGGTGAAAGATGAAATGCCTGAAAAAATATAGGTTTGATCTTCTGAGCACACTGATTTATTACGCAATGCATGCCAATTACCTAATAAAGTGTGACCAGACCTCCTCAGCTTAGGCCTAGACTCCAATACAGGGGGAGACAGATTTTATACGTTAAAAACAATTCTTCAAATAAATTCAATTAATTAAAAGGAAACAATACATTAGATAATCTTATATCTAATTGGAGGAAAGATTAGAGACTTTCCAAGTTGGGAGGGGAAGAGTAAACAGGTAAAATATTATGAATTCAGAAAAAAGGGGTGTCCCACTCCCCACAAGTGTCAGTAAGCAATCAAAGGAATATGACTGATCAGTACGGTGTCAGTCTTCAGATAAGATATATGGGTTGCCTGAGATGTACCATTGTGAGAAAACTCCTTGCATCAGTCTTTGGATTTGACCAGGTTTCTGGTCAGCACAACCGAGGTCCTTAATTAAGGGTCTCCAAATAGCAGGAAGAGGTTGTCCCGTTTCCCAGCCACTCGTCCAAACTTCAGAGAACAAATCCCTTTAATAAAAGGATTTGCTCTGTAAAACTTGGACTCAGTCAAAAGGCCGCACCCAAGGACCTATAAGGCCACACGTGGCCTCAAGGTCACAGGTTCCCCCCTCCTATACTAGACTTCCCCGTGTTTAGAATGCACTTCCTCCTCATCCTTGTCTTGCTTCAAAGCTCAGTTCAAAAGCCATCTCCTCCATGAAGCCTTTCATGATATGTTCTTCTTCTCCACTCCTACCCTACCAATTTCTAGGTGCTCTCCTCATCAAATCTTCTTAGGGCACTTCAGCTGGACCTTGTTCTTTTCACTCTACACCTTATACTCATCTGCCCACTGAAGATGGGAGCTGTCCTTTTAAAATCTTTGTACCTAGCATGTAGTTGGTGTTGAACACATACTTGCTGAATGAATGGTATGCCCAGACCAGTCTTGACGCAAACTGGGGGCTTCTTCAGTGCCTGGCACAGAGAGGCTTCCCTCACAACAAAGCACTTCATGGTCTGGAACCAAATCTTACCCAAGAAACGAGCTAACAATCTATAGTACCAACAAGTCCTGACACTGAACCTGCTAGTTTTGGCAAGGGAAGAGATGCCATCACCTTATCCCAGCAACAGTCAGTACCCAATGCTAGAGCAAAGTAAAGATTCTCAGAATAAGGATATTGCTGATACTTATTTGGTTAAATTCTCAATCCCCGTAGATTTGAATCTGGGTAATTAGACTTGTCAGCCTGTAACAAAGGGGTAACTATCTGGTCTTTTCTAAAACCTCTCAAGGTTTGCATAAGCATTAAGTACTCCCTACCCCACTCCCACCTCCACCCCCCTCTACCACTGACTTTTTAATGTGGCTTGCTTATAAAATCTCCATTTCTTTCCTTTTCCTCTTTTCTCTAATAAGGTTACCTCCAGTAGCATACAGAGGGTTCCAGCCCAGTTTGAGGTCCCTATCGGCTTCCTCTGGAGAGAATTACTCCAAACCCACCCTGGAAAGGAAGATGAACACAGAAGCAGAAGCCAGGAAGTTGCCATTATTTAAGGAAATTTATTGATTAGAAACCCTCTCTGATACTGATTGCAAAAAACAAACAAACAACAACAACAACAACAACAACAACAAAAGCCCAGGAGAGACACCCAGTAATCAGCGTTGTGGGCACTTCCCTTCCTGTACAAGCCTAGAATCTTTGCGTGGTTGAGAAGATGCTGGTGGCCAACCAGACCCAGGTGATGTTCCATGATGCTGAAGGCATTCAACAGATCCCTTTCTTCCTCTTTATAATAGGCACTTCTCAGTGCCTTTATGCCAAAGAAGAAATAGAAAGAAGAGTTGTGCAGCTGATCAGCAAAGACTCGTTAAGAAACAGAGCTTGCAAGTCCCAAGAATAATGGTATCACACCACCCTGTTGATGATGGTTCCCAATCCTTCAATCTCACACTGGACTTCATCTCCTTTCTGTAACAGAGAAAGCAGTGACTACATGATTAACTGTCTTTCTTCTCTGGAAACACCCCTGCTCCTTTCCTTGGCTCACAATGAAAAGAAAGGACATTATAGATAAAGATACAGGTAGGGGGCAGCTAGGTGTCAAAATGGATAGAACACCAGCCCTGAAGTCAGGAGGACCTGAGTTCAAATCCGGCCTCAGACCAAACACTTGACATGTACTAGCTGTGCAACTTTGGGCAAGTCACTTAAACCCGACTGCCTCACCAAAAAAAAAAAAAAAAAAAAAAAAAAAAGATACATGTAAAGGACGTATGGGATGCCCTTGATGAGCTATGAGCCAGAAATCAAGGAGAATGAGGTACTCTCTGGCTTTGGCTGTTTCCACTACCCAGCTAACATACCTTGAGAAACACTGGGGGTTTCCTAAACACACCAACACCTGGTGGGGTCCCAGTCAGGAAGACATCCCCAGGATACAGGGTGACAAACCTGTACAGAGCAGGAGTCAAGGGTTAGATTTCTTTGGCCTCTCGGGTTCAGGGTGAGAAGTGCTAGGCTCATTGACAGGGAGTCTGAGAATGGCAGGGGACAGACCAGTTGGGACAGCGCTATCTCCTACGCATAAAGCTGGGATAAATAAAAGACAGTTCTACTTACTGTGAGACCCACGCTATTAGGTCTTCTGTCTTAAACACCATCTGGTTGGTACTGCTACTCTGCACTACCTCCCCGTTCACTCGGCAACAGATCTTCAAGTTGTGTGGATCTGAAATGATAACAACGCCTTTAACACTTAGGGTCCTTTCTTTTCTGTTAGAAAGAGAGTTATCCACATTTCATAGATGGGGAAACTGAGGCATACAAACATATCCAGGGCAACACAGTCCTCAACATTTGCTTAATAGTTTCTGTGTGCAGAAAGATATACTATGTTCTGCTGGAGATTTTTTAAATTAGAGGATTTATACCTTGCCTTCAAGACTAGCAGCAGAGACAGATCAAATATATATATATATGATGACTTAAGAAAACTTACACATCATGAAAGACAAATGATGACTAATGTCTCATTTGTTAGATGACTATTTTACTTAAGTGAATTTTTCAGGTATCTGAATTTACTCCCTTTAACTTTTTTTCTTAATCTTTTTAATGGACATCTTTCTAAAACTTTTTACACACTTTCATTAACATGTTAATAACGGTTATTTTCAATTTTTTCTCGATAACTCAATTATTGTGCTGTGAAACAATGAAGACCTCTGTACTGCTGATGTACAGAAAACTCTTTGCTTCTAAAGAAAATCGGCCAAGACAACCGTGTTTTTTATCATTCTTTGTCTGCTTTCCATAGGTCTTGGGCTACGAATGCTTCTCATCTGTGACTGCCTTATCACCCACAAAAGCCTGAGTGAAGGCCTAGTGTGGGTCCATGCATCTCTCAGTAAATGCATGGGCTCTGTGACAGCCATGATCCTTGCTTGTTGTATTCAGGTTGTATTCAGGTTGCTTCCTCACTCGTGACCATGCTCTAGAAAAGTGAACTAGTCTTCCCTCCAGAGAAGTGGGACATTACTGTAAATAAATATAGTACATCAACGGTAGCATTGGATTAAAATCCAAGTCCAGTGCCTAATCCAGTACGCTCAGGTGACACAAGGAAGGAGTGATCCTGAAAGCCAACAAGGGCAGTGGGAGAACTTCCAGCAAAACCATCCCCCAAAGACCCCAGCTTCTGACACCCAGGCTCTCTGGAGTTCTGCCTTGGACTAAATAGCACAACAGTCCAGTAAGTATGCATTCCTTCAGACTAGAACAAAGGGAAAAGGAAGAGAAAGGAGAGGCCCAGGGGTCCAAGATCCAGGGTCCTACCTGCCACACAATCTTTGGTAACCAAGGCAGGACCCAGAGGGCAGAAGGTGTCGAAGGTTTTTCCAAGCAGCCACTGCTTCCCATTGCGCCTCATCTGCCAGTCACGAGCACTCACATCGTGTGCCACAGTGAACCCAGCCACATGAGCCATGGCATCTGTGGCCTGTGGGGGGAGACTGTATGAAGGTAGGCTAGGGGAAGTCCTAGCCAGACTGGGAAGGGACAGGAACTGTGACTTAAATGCCACAGGAAACTCCTCATCTTCTTTACAACTTTCAGCTACTCAGAGCTACATAGAACAATGAGAGGTTAATGACTTGCCGGGGTCACAGGCCTCCCTGGTGTCAAGGCCAGCCCTCTATCCCCTTGGGTGTGCTGCTTCACCATAAGCCGACCAGAGATTAGGTAACTGACTACGCTCACGCCTCTCAGTAAGAGATCTCAAAGCCCTTTCTCCACAACAACAGATAAGCGGTGCATGCACAGGGACTCCTGCTCCTGACATCTGGCTTCACTGAAGCCCTGCCTTAGACCGAGCCACAGCCCGTGGAGGCAACAAGGCTAAATTGGAGACGACAGATAGCTTACGACTAGTTACATTCCTGCATGCCACATCTCAATGCTATGGCTAGCTATTCTCATTCTGGGGGAAGAGAGTGATTAGGATTAATGGAGATTAACAGGAGCTAAGGACCCGAGAGTTAGCCTCTCAGTTCTATTCATCCACTGGGGCTGGGGAGCGCCTGCTCAGCCTCACACACGGCCCCATCTCTATTACCTTAATATGTTTGCCTTTCTTCCCAATGACGAAGGCCAGTTCCACCTCCCAGTCCACCTCCTGCAAGGTATGAAAGCAGAATTTTGAGCAGTGACACTTCCATTGGCTGTACTTCCGTGGTATTCAAAGCAGATAAACAGTAACAGTAGTTACTCATAATGACAAACAACTGCTCATACTTGTAACGGTGCTGTGAGGTTAAAAGCCTCTTTCCATTCCCTGAAGCCCCCAGGAGACTTGGAATCTGAAGCTACGAGGCTGACTCACCAGGACAGCGCTACTGCTGGTTATCTGGCCACATCCACAGTCATCCATCAACCAAAAAGTCCTCAGGACTCCAAGACAGAAGCAAGTAAGTCCCAAGGAGGAATTGTAAAACATGTTTTGAGCAACAGCAGCATCAACAGAACAAACAGATAGCCTCCCACTGGGACTACTTTGAAGGACAACACATATCGGGGTGAATAGGTTTTATCCTGCTTACTATAAGTCAGCCTTATGTCACCCTTCAAAGGCCCCGTAGAGTCACATAGAATATAATAATAGATCTAATTCAGAAATGAACGATCTTGAACTTCAGGTTACACGTGTGGCTTAACGATCACTGTTCTAAGACCAGAGAGCCCTTGAAATCCAGGCTGTGAGCAAGGTGGACAGGCTAAGGAGAAAAGCACAGGAAAGGATAGAGTTAAATTCTTGGGGAAAGGGATGGAGCAAAGGGTTAGAATCTATCTAGGAGTGGAATTTTGTGGTGAAGTGGGTGGGAAAAGGCAGGAATTCAGGGCAAAAAGGGCATGACATTTACTTTGCTCTCAGGAGGCAGGACAACATCATCGTAGGGCCCCACGATAGAGCTACTAAACTTGCTGAAAATGATGGGCTCCGTCGGCACTGGCACATTCTGTTCCTTGCAGTGGTCCACATAGTTCATGCCCACACACACCACTTTGTCTGGCTGGGTGATAGGGGCCAGAAAAGTAACCTCTGACCGTTTCAGAACTGGCTGCTTAGATTCCAAAGCTCTGCAGAAAACAAAGCAGAAAGGGTGAAGGAAGACAGTGAGGGAGGCAGGAATCAGGAATTCTACTTCCAGAAGGAGAAATTCCCTTTGCCACAATTAAATCATTTGATTTTTTTTTTTTTTTTGGTGAGGCAAATGGGGTCAAGTGACTTGCCCCAGGGTCACACAGCTAGTAAGTGTTATGTGTCTGAGGCTGGATTTGAACTCAGGTCCTCCTGACTCCAGGGCCAGTGCTCTATCCACTGCACCACCTAGCTGCCCCAAATCATTTGATTTTAAAATACATTTCGTTACATCTATCAATAGAAATTTCCATATTAAATATTCAAATCAACGACCATTTCATTTCCCTAACCTAATTCCTTAAATCTAAAGATCTCAAAGCACTTTACAGACCAGACCTCAAGGGGCTGAGGGTGAGACAGAAAAGCTTACCTTGCCCCTTGCATGTGGATTTCACTTTGTGCCTTATGGTTCAAAGAACCTTTCTATATTGAGTTTCAGGAAGAAATTCTATGGTAAAAGGTAGATCTGACTTTGCCTAGGAGGAAGTGAAGGGGTCTCTACCATAACAAAATCATGGTAAAATGGATATTTTCAAGGAAAACAGATATTCTAGATGCCTAGATGCTGCTCCCAAGCTCTACCTCTGCTTGCCTTGCAAAATCTCCCTAGGACTCAGATACAATTTTATGTCTGCAGAAACAGACAAGGACCAAGGCACTGTGGTCCAACTAACCAGCTTCAGAAATTTTAGCCAGAGGGAAGGGTGGGATTGGACACACACACACACACACACACACACACACACACACACACACACGAACGAAGGACTAGGAAAGGCAGGAAAGGATTCCAGGTGCAGGCAGACCATTCTTTGCTGTCTTGTCATCCTCCTTCCACACCTTAAATGTGGGTGCTGCACACCCTGCCCCGATTCTGTTCCTAGACTTTTCCATCTATATTTCCCCCTATTTACGTGGCTTTGATGATTATCTTTCCGGTAGCTGAACCTTTATCCCTTCCCTCAATGTCCCTCCAGAGCTCCAGGCTCTTTTGCAATTGCCTATCAAGCACCTCCCCCTAGACGTTCAACTAGCACCTTAAAAATCAACATTTCCACAATTAAATTGATCATCTTTTCCCCAAATTCTCCATTTTTGTTGACTGCAGCACTACCTCCCAGCCACCAAATGTCAAAAACTTCGATCATTTTTGATTCTTCTCTCTCCCTTATCCCACAAACCTACTCATTCACCAGGTCATGTGGATTCCACCCCCATTCCTATCTCTTGCCTGGATGCTCACCTTTCATTACCATTTCAACCACCCTAAGTCAGGATCTCATTTTTTCTCTCTTAGGTTTTGGCAACAGCCTCTTGTTTAGTCTTCCTGACTTCAGGCTGTCCTCTCTTGAATCTAGCCTTCACATTTCTTCCAAAATAAATTTTATAACTGATTCCTCAGAGCATGTTGCACCTCTAGTTTAAAAAAAAAAAAGTGGTTTCTCAATGCGAACTGAATACAATCTAAAATCTTTAGCCTGATAGGCAAGGCTGTCCACCACCCGGCTCCAAGTAGCGTTTCAGCCGCGGCTCATGATGCCCTGCTCTCTGTCCTTCCTTCACTCTCTCTCTGCTCCCTCCCGGCTCTTTTCCCTCGCTTTCAATATCTCCCATGCTTATAATGGATGCAGACTCCCAGCCTGCAACTTTGGCTTGTGAAATTTATCCAACTCAGGGACCGCCTCCTCAATAAGGCCTACTTCCCTCACCCCGTCCCGAAGCTGAAGGCATCTCCTTAACCTCAAATTTCTCACGGCATGTTGCTGGCCCTTAGACTTCTCACATTCTGTGACATAGGGCTGTCATAACCACAGCTGAATGCAATGCTTTGCACATAACTGGCATCTAATAGATGTTTCTCAATAGCAAAAAGTCAGTAAAAAAGAAATTCTTTTTTCTTGATTCTAGTCAGGGAGGGGTTGTAATACTCCTTGCTCCTCATGGACGCTTCCAGGCTCTCCATCAACCACTATCACTCAATAACGTCTCTTTCTCTGAGGTTCTCTTTCAGATTTATCACCCAATCAAGATTCTAGTGGCTGCTATTTATCAATCTCCAGGGCATTGTCCTTCCTTCCTCAATGATTTTCAGATCCTGCCCTCCTACTAAAGCACTTCAACCTGCCTACTGCTATGCCCTTGAATACCCACCCCAGCCTCTCAGTTCCTCCATCTATTCATTTCTCATGACCTGCTCTTTGACCCCACCACATGCCCTTGATCTTGCCATAACCCACAAATGTACCACTGCCACAGTTATGAACTTTGAAATTCCTTTACCTAATCACAATCTGTTGTCATTCCACCTGTCCCTCTGCCTTGTGACCCCTAAACTTGTTCTTCATTTTCACCACAACCTCTGTTTCCATCCCTCACTTCTTTCCCTGGCCATTAGCCCAGCACTGGCTACACTCTCCTCCTTGACCCCTTAGTGAACCAGTTCAACTCTACATTGTCCTCTACTTTCAAGCCCCTTGCCCCTTCATCCCAGTAAAGATCTTACCCTACAAAGCCTCACCCTAGGATTTCTCCCACCAGCTACGGCCTTTCTCCTACTCACATGCTGGTAAACAAATATGGAGAAAATCACAAAACCACGCTGGCTGGATCCACTACAAATTTATGTTACATAATTTCAACTGGGCCCTCATTTCTGCTAGGCAATCCTTTTACAACTCCCCGATTGACTCACTATCCCACTTTAACACAGTTGTTTTGTTTTGTTTCTTATATGAGGCAATTGGGGTTAAGTGACTTGCCCAGAGTCACACAGCTAGTGAGTGTTATGTGTCTGAGGCCAGATTTGAACTCAGGTCGTCCTGACTCCAGGGCTGGTGCTCTATCCACTGTGCCACCTAGCTGCTCCTTAAACCTTTTTAACTCTCCTCAAACCCCCTTACCTGAGACCTTCGTCTATCTCACTGAAGAAACTGAGGCCATTCACCATGTTCTTCTACCCTCCTCCTAATCACATATCACACAGATGCCTTCTGCTACATTCTCCTTATTTAACCATTTCACAAGAAGAGGTGGCCCTTCTTCTTGACAAGCAAACCCATCTACAAGCACAAGTGATTCTATTCTATTCTTTCTTGTCCAACAGATTGTCTCCTCTACCATCCCCACTCTCTCACCAATCTCCAATCTCTCACGGTCCATTGGCTGCTTCCTCATTACCTACAAACATGTCCCATCAGCCCCATCCTCAAAAACACCCTCATTTCATCCATCCATCCATATCTCTCCTCCATAATCTCTTCTCCTTTTTGTGGCTAAACTCCTTAAGAAAGCCATCAACAGCAGATGCCTCTACTCCCTTTCCTCTCACTCCCTTAACTCTTGCAGTTTAGTTTCTGAGGTCACCATTCAACTGAAACTACCCTCTCCTTGATCTTCTCTTTTCTCCAGGTTTTTGTGATACTGACCTCTCCTGATTCTCCTCTTACCCATATGACTGCTCCTTCTCAGTCTCCTCTATTAACTATGAGTGTCCCCCAAAGCCCAAAAAGCCCTTTTCTCTTCTACATCTATTCTGTTTCACTTGGTGATCTCATAAGCTCCCATGGATTAAACTACCATCTTTATGAAGATGATTCTTAGATTTGTCTATTTCAAACCTCTCTGCTGACCTCTGGTCTCACATCTCTAAGCGTCCGATGTATATCTCAAACTAGATATCCTATTTACATCTTAAACTAAGCATGTCCAACACTGACCTCATTACCTTTCCCCCAAAACTCTCCTCTCTTCCTAATTTCCCTATAACTGTGGAGGGTACCACCATACTCCCAGTCACCCAAGCTTACAACCTAGATGTCACCCTGGATTTCTCACTCTGCACCTGTCCACCTCTCCCCATATCCAATCACTGTCGCTTTCTACCTTTGCAACACCTCTCACATATGCTTCTTTCTCTCCTCTGACACTGCCAACACCCTGGTCCAGGCCCTCATCACCTCACATGTGAACTACTGTATAACCCTGCTGGTTGGTCTCCCTGCCTCAAGTCTCTCCCTACTCTATTTCATCTTCCACTTGGCTGTCAAAGTGATCTTCCCAAAGTACAGGTCTCTTCATGTCACCTCTTTCCCCATCCCCATCCCAGGTGATAAATCCCAATGCCTCCCTATTACCTCCAGAATCAAATATAAAGTTCTCTGTTTGACTTTTAAAGTCCTTTATAACCCACCCTCTTCCCAACTTTCCAGTTTTCTTGCCCATAGTCCCCAACACATCCTCTGTGATCCAGTCACAACTGCCGTTTTGCTGTTCCTCAATACACAATACTCCATCTCTCAAGCCCTGCTTCTTCACTGGATGTCTCCCATTCCCAGAACTCTCTCCTTCCTCATCCCTACCTTCTGGTTTCCTTCAAGTTGAAGCTAAAGTCCCAACTTCTATGAGAAGTCTCCCCCAGACCTCTTTAATCTTTGTGCTTGTCCTCTGGACTATCTCCAATTTACCCTGTACACATCCAATTTGTACATAACTGTTTACATTGTTTGCATGCTGCCTCCCTCATTAGACCATAAGCTCCTTGAGATCTGAGAATCTTTTTTTTTTTTTTTGCCTTTCTTTGTATCTTGCATGCTTTGCAAAGTGTGTGGCACATAGTAGGTGCTTAATAAATGCTTATTAACTGGGGCAGCTAGATGGTGCAGTAGATAGAGCACTGGCCCTGGAGTCAGGAGGACCTGAGTTCAAATCCGGTCTCAGACCAGATACTTGATACTTACTAGTTGTGTGACCTTGGGCAAGTCACTTAACCCCAACTGCCTTGCCAAAAAAAAAAAAAATGCTTATTAACCAAATGAATTTATCTCTGATCTTACTCAAGAAAATAAGAGATCAAAAAGGAGGCTTAACTTGGATTTTTACTAGTTTCATATTGATTCTCAAGGAAACTCTCTGCTTTTTTTGTCTAGTCTTATCATACTGACAGGCATAGTAGAATTTTTTATTTTTACCTTTTTGCCACAGAGAGGGTAGTTTCTCCCTGTTCCAGGAACTCCCTCATGGTCTTGGGCAGGCTAGGGTCAAAGGCATTGAGGTCAATCACCCCACCACCATCCTTCTCCTCTAGTCCCAGGTGAGGCCCTTTCAGGTGAGGGGTTTGGAACTGGACCAGTCTCATGCCTCTGGAGATCTGATATAACACCTTATGATTCTGCAGCAGAGCTGTAAATAGGGTTCTTGAAACAGGCACCAACATCAGAACCTATAGGGAAAATAAAGTAAAGAAAGAGAGAAAGAATAGAGAAAACCACCAGACCAGCCACTTAATACTATAGAACCTAATCATCAAAAACCAGAAAACAGTCTATGTCTTCAAAGGGTGGTAAGTGAGGTAAGACATGCACACACAAAAAAACTAGAGAATAACATAAGGCAATACATGGCTATGGGATATATTGTGTGGCAAAGTGGAAATTGAGAATTGATAAAGTTGGCAGGACAGGCTTCAGGGAGAGAGACCCAACACTTTCTCTTCGAATGGAAATTAAGAATCTATACTAGATAATGTGGGCAAAGGAATGAAGGCAGAAATGAGTAAAGTGTATGGGACAATGAAGAAGATGATGGTTATCTGCAAAATTGAAGAGTTTATCATGTATTCCCACTTCCAAATTATTTATGAAAATGTTCAGAACACCAGTTCTAGCACTTATCCTTGGAGAATTCCATTACTTTTACTTCTCCATCCAAAGAACAATTTTTTTTGTAAGTCCCCACCCATGAAAAATATTCTCTCTTTCCCTCTCCAAATTCCAGCTACTCAACTTTTAAAAAAAGCCTTCAGCACAGAATCTCTAAGTAAATTTCATTCCTTGGTTTTCTGTGGCTCACATATTTATCTACTCCCTTAAAGAACACTAGGACATCAGTCAGGCATGATTTCCCATTACAGATTTGTTTAAGCTCAGTTAATGACTAATGAGGCCAAGGACAACGGTTTGATCCCTGTACAGGCGAGGTAATTTTTCACAAAAGACTGCACTCCTAACTATTGCCAGCTGTCCCACTGGTCAAAAAGCACACCAGAAAAGAGATGTTTCCACAATGGAAAAACAACTCAAAAATACAAAATTTCTAATTGATGATTCACACTTTTACAAAATATTTAATAATGCTGCACTGCACAAATACTTTGACCTAGTAAAGTTCCCAGGATAATGTATATGTGACTGGGAAGTTGTCTACACAGGGGCTGCGGCCCAGCCTGCCTTAAATGCAAGGTCAGCAAGATGCTCTAACCACCAGCTCCCTTTATGCCAAAATCTCTACACAGAAGGGAAACCTTGTTCAAAGTTCTGGGATAAAATAGAACTATTTGCTACCCAAGGTCATGATAAAAGTCCAAATTTAAAAGCAACCTTTCTTGGATGTCTTCTGGAGGCGTAAATCGCTTCTTGTTTTCTTCCTTTTTCAGCCCTATACCTTCATCTTCCTCAGCCCTTTCCATTTCTTCAGCCATCTCCTCCGGGGCACTCACCCTACCCTTTTCCCTAAGGTACCCTCCAACTGTAAATCCTATGATAATTGACATCTATATAGTTCTTTAAGGTTTGCTAAGTGAGTTACATACATTATCTCATTTGAGCTTCACAACAACCCTGTGATCGCTACACAGTTTGTTTTAACTGGACCTATAATTTCATCATACTAGGAACTTCCTCTACCAATGAAGGTCTGCACTTTCTTTCTAACTTAGGGTCTTAAAGAATTGCCTGGGGGAGCACTGAGAGGTAATGTGACTTGGCCGGGATCACCCAACCAGTGTGAGTCACACTAGAACCCAATTCTTCCTGCCCCTGAGGCCAGCCCTCTATCCAGGACAACACGCAGCCATATGTTTTACAAGGGTGGTCCAGAGAGGTTAAGTGACTTGCCCCTGATCATACAGCTAGGATCAGGGGCTGGATCTGAACCCAGATCTTCCAAGTCCTGCATTCTCCACAGACTCCCCTTAAGCCCCACTTCCCTACACCGACCCCTACCTCCCCGGAGTGGGTTCAATCGATCACACCCAGTAGTCCGGCCTCCCGTCCCAGGGAAAGGGAAACGTGAGGAGGGGTAGGCAGGAGCCTGGCCCCTTGGGATTTCAGTGCTGACAATTCAAACTTGGGGTGAGGGTGAGAGTGTTGGGGCAGGGGTTGGGGCGGGGGCATAAGGCAAAGGCATGAGGTGGGGGCGGGGGCATAAGGCAAAGGCATGAGGTGGGGGCGGGGTCATGGGGCAAGGGCATGGGGTGAGGGCAGGGGGATAAGGCAAGCGCACGAGGTGGGGGCCGAGACATGGGGCAGGGGGAGAGAGCAGGGGTATGGAGCAGGGGTATGGGGCGGGGGCATGGGGTGGGGGCAAGGGGCAGCCCGCTCTCTCGTCTTCCCTTTCCCAGCCTCAGGGGGAGCAGCAGAAATTACACCTTACCTAGCCCTAGGCGGCACCTTCTGCCTCTCCGGCGCACTGCGATGACGTATTTAGGCCTGGACGGGGAGGGAGAGGCTCAGGGTCGCTGGGGGCAAAGGTTAAAAGGTCGTGAGAGTGGGACCTTTCTGGGTAACCTCTACCAACAACAACTCCCGCGCCCAGAACTACAACTCCCGAGAGGCTCCGCGCTTCTCCCGAGACTCCGGGCAAGGCTAGCCAATGGGAGGCCGGGGGAGGGGGGCGGAGGCCTTCTGCAACGTCACCGCTCTCCCAAGCAATGAGAAAGCGCTTAGTCATTCCTCATCCAAGTGTCCAGATGCGGGCAGCTCGTTTGGAGCTCTGGGCACTGCGAGGGAGGGCTGTGCTTCCGCAGCCCCATTTGTTAAACTCTCCTTGCGTACTGAGACCCAAACTTAGACAAGACGGCGTCCATTACTGACACACTTTTGACAGGTCTCTTCCAGTTTTGTTTTAGGGAGGAGGTGCTGACCTGTGTCCGTAGATGGCATTTCTCACACCTGTATAATCACAGATCCGCACGAAAAAGACACACATGATAAACTACCAAATAATTCATTATATAATAAGTGCATTGGAGAGGTGCAGGGGGGTGGAGGGAAGTCGTGTGAAGCCCGAGGCGGAAGGTTGTTAACTACTGGGACAGCTTCATTGCGGAGGTGACATTTCAGTGCAAATCGACTTTTAATAAGCCTGTAGGCAAGACGAGAGGCATCCTGGTCTGTTATTCAGAAGGCTGGCCTTGGAGTCAGGAAAGATTGAGTTCAAACCCTACAAATGACGCAAACTACTGGAGTGACCTTGCAAGCAACTCTTGAGGACTATAAGAGGCGGACAATCTGCCTCAGTGGGGGGAGTTTCCCAAAACAATGAAATTACAAGTTCAGGTTCTACCCCAATCCCTCAAATGTAGGCAAATAAATACAGGATAACTTGAATCAAGGTAACTTGAGGAAGGAACAAACACTAGGGAGGGGAGGTTTGGGAAGCTTTGCAAAGAGCCTGGGCACTGAGCTGAACCCCAAAGGATGATAAGGATTCTTGAGGCAAAGATGAAGACGTGTGTGAGGGCAGGGGTGAGAGGAGAGAGTGGTGAGTCACAGGCATGAGGACTGCTTGGGCAGATGAAGGGAGACAGGAGATAGAATGAGTTTGAAGAACAAGTGATTCAGTTTGACTGGAACTCAGAAGCCTTCTGCAACCGCTCTTTATTCCAGTGCTTTCCCTCTGTTAATTATTTCCTATTTTTTATCCTGTATACAGTTTGTTTGTACATAGCTGTTTCCATGTTGCCTCCTGTGTTAGATTGTAAGCTCAGTGAGGGCAGGGACTATCTTTTCCTTCTTTTTGCATCTCCAGCACTTAGCACAGTTCCTGACACATAGGAGGAGCTTGATGTTTATTGATTTGATTGATATTGATTAAATATTGATTGATTGCTAATGGGAAAAGGACTGGGTTTGGAATCAGAAGACAGATTTGAACTTTGACTCAGTGTTTCTCTCCTCTGATCCTACTACCACCCTGGTGCAAGTCCTCATCACCTCATGCCCTGACTATTCCAACTGGCTGCTGGCTGATTTCTCTGAATCAAATCTCTCCCTACTCCAGTCCATCCTTTACTCAGCTGTCAAAGTGATCTTCCTAAAGCCCAGGTCTGACCATATCTATGCAATAAATTCCAGTGACTGCTTATTACCTCAGGGATCAAATACAAAATCCTTTGTTTGGCATTCAAAGCCCTTAATATCCTGACCCTCTCCTACCTTTCCAATCTTCCTACCCTTCCTCCCCTACCCTCCAATACGTATACAGTGATCCAGTGACACTGGCCTCCTTGCTGTTTCACAAACAAGATACTCCATCTCTTGACTCGGCATTTTCACTGGCTGTTGCCCATGCCTGGTATTCTCTCCCTCCTCATCTCCATCTGCTGGCTTTCCTGATTTCTTTTAAGTTCCAGCTAAAACTCTGCCTGCTACAAGAAGCCTTTGCTGATTCCGCCTTAATTCTAGTGCCTTCCCTCAATTGATTATTTCCAATTTACCTTGTATGTAGCAACTGTGTACATAGTTGTTTTCCTATTGTCTCCCGCATTAGATTGTGAGCCCCTTGAGAACAAGGACTGTCTTTTACTTTTCTTTGTATCACCTTTGTATTACCTTTCTTTATATGCTTAACACAGTGCCTAGTACATAGGCACTTAACAAATGTTTACTGATTGCTTACTGTTTTAATTCCCCCATTCTAGTGGGGGAAAACACACATAAAAGGGAACTGGAAAGTAGAGGCAGCATGGAAGAGGGTGCCCACAGCAGGGGAAAATTACCAGATTACCACATGGGGTCAAGGAGGAGACATCTGGAGAGTCAAAAACAGAGCCAGGAGAGAAGTGAACATGGATAATCTAGGCTCTTCATGAAATAGTAACGTTAAGCAGGATCTCACCAATCTGAGGAGGGGCCACAGGGGTGAAGGCATCTTCAAGATGAGAAAGCTATTCAGCTATAGAGTCAGAAGTAGATTCAATAGTAAGGGTAAAAATAGATTTACACAGAGAAAGGCAGATGGAGACATGAAAGCTCAGATTATGATAAAGGAGAACTTTAAAATTCAAGATCATGAAGATGGAATGACTTGGGGTGAAGGTTTTTCATATGACCTCCCCTTTGGGAGGATAAAGTAGAGTGGAAATGAAGGTTGTGGGAGTTGAGGAGGCCAATTAATTGGAAAACCAGGTTGTTTAGAGACAGTAACAACTTGAATATTAAATTCCCCAAGGTTGAAGGCAGAGATTGGAGTAGGAAGTGAGACTGTGAACTAGGTACTGAATTCATTTAGAAAAGAGAAAGAATAATTGAGATGTCAGCAGATGTAGACCAAATTATATAGATAGATGAAGGAACTCTCCAAAGAGAAGAATTGTTGAGTAATGGTGACAGAGGAAAGGTCTGGAAGTGGGCTGGCCATGTTGTTTGAATGCCAAATGCCCATTTGCCTAAAAGATTATTTTATGGAGAGCTCACACAAGGCAAGCACTCCCATGGAGGTCAGAAGAAATGATACAAGGACACTCTCAAGGTCTCTTTGAAGAACTTTGGTATCAATTGGGAAACATGGGAGACCCTGGCCCAGGACTGCCCAGTATGGTGTACCCCCATCAAATAAGGTACTCTGCTCTATGAGCAAAGAAGAATTGCAGTAGCTCAAAAGAAATGTGAGATGCACAAATTTAGAGATACCTCCCTCCCAAGTGCTCAGATGGACTATTTGTGCCAACCTCTGGTAGAGCTTTCTGAGCTCATTTTGGTCTCATCAGCCACAGTCAAATACATTGCACTTTGACCCTGACATTGTGATGTCATTTTGGTTCTCTTCAAGGACAATGACCCACCTACATACTGGAAGTGGCAGTATGGAACAAGGAGTATGCCCCCACCACCTTTCTCTGGCCCAGTGTGTCAGGGAAGGTGGATATGAGAGATGGTACATCTAGGATTGGTATGGTTGGACAGGATGATGTACCTTCAAGAGAAAGCCAGGTTTCTTTTAGAGCAAGAGTGTGAGAAGTATGAGAAGAATTGATCTTAGTCAATTGGTACTTATTAAGTGCCTACTATGTGCCAAGTGCTGTACTAAGCACTGGGGATACAAAGAAACAAAAAAAGATGGTCCTTCCTCTCAAGGAGCTCACAGTCTAACTGGAGAGACAACATGCAAACAACTACATACAAACAAAATGCAGTATATATACAAGGGTGTGCTGGTAATTGCTTTAAAAAAACAAGTATGCAGGATACATTTTCAAGTTTAATCTGCCTTATTAACATTTTCTCCATCACTTTCTTAAGTCCAGACAATCAACAAAACAATCAAGCCCTGATTTGTAACATTTTTCTGAGATATAAAAGGTCACTCTGAAATTTTAACAATCAGCTTTTTGGAACCAATTCAAGCTGGGTCCAGCACATACACACCCTCCCCCCCCCCCACATGCTAAATTGACAGTCATCTCAGAAGGAAAGCATTAAGATCAAAAGGGTCTTGCAGAAGAAAGTGGGACTTTAACTGACACAAGAAGGAAGCCGGGGAAGCTGCTAGGTGGAAATGATGAGGGATGAAGCATGAGGGTCAGCCAGTGAAAATGGGAAATGGAAGCTCTCGTGTAAGGAACAACAAAGAGGTCAGTTAGTGGTTGAGCAGTCTTCCACAGGGCTCGGGGAAGAGATACTAAAGGAATGTGGGAAATCAGCAGAATACAAATATCTCCAGCTTCTAGTTAAATTTATAGCAAAAGCAGAAGTAAAAGGCCTAAATGCCATAACTGAAATAACTAGACCATTAACTCAAGCACTAGGTATTGATCAAGATTAATTGCCTACACACCAATTAATGTGACTCCTCTAGAGTATTTTAAGATTATTTTAGATACAAAGGTCACCTGTTCTAGTAGGATCTAGAGTTGGAAAGAGATGCCAAAGGTCATCTCATCCAAGCCCCTCATTTAACAAGGAGGTTATATGACTTCCAGGTCACAGGTAGTGAGGATTCTTACCTCTGTCCTCTGATTCCAAAGACAATGCTTTTTCCACTTTGATTTACACTCTTTGAGATCAAAAGAAAGGGGAGAAGACCTATTTGCACAAAAATATTCATAGCGGCTCTTTTTGTGGTAGCAAAGAATTGGAAATTGTGGGGATGCCCATCAATTAGGGAATGGCTCATCAAGTTGTGGAATAGTGCTATGAGAAATGATGAGCTGACTGATTTCAGTAAGACTTACAAAAACTGATACAAAGTAAAGTAAACAGAACCAGAACATTGTACATAGTAACTGAAATATTGTAGTATGATCAACTGTGAATGACAGCTCTTCTCAGCAATGCTGTGTGTGTGTTTCTTTTCATCTGTGTCTTGTACAACATGACTAATGTGGAAATATGTTTTGCATGACTGCACATGTATAACCTATATCAAATTGTTTACCATTTCAGGTAGGGGGGGAAGTGAGGAAGGGAGGAAGAAAATTTAGAACTCAAAATTAAAAAAAAAATGAATGGCAAAAATTGTCTTTACAGGGGGCTGCTAGGTAGCACAGTGGATAGAGCACTGGGATTGGAGTCAGGAAGATCTGAGTCCAGATCTGGTCTCA